AGAATAGAATAGAATAGAATAGAATAGAATAGAATAGAATAGAATAGAATAGAATAGAATAGAATGGAAATGAATGAAATGGAATGGAACAGAACAGAATAGATATTGGAATATAGAATAGAAATTAATAGAATAGAATAGAATAGAATGGAATGGAACAGAACAAAATTAGAATAGAATAGAATAGAATAGAATAGATATTGGAATATAGGATAGGATAGGATACTGGAATATAGAATATAATAATAGAATAGATATTGGAATATAGAATATAATAATAAAATAGAATAGATATTGGAATATAGAATAGAATTAGAATAGAATTGATACTGGAATATCAAATAATAGAATAGAATTGGAATAAAATAGGATAGGATACTGGAATATAGAATATAATAGTAGAATAGATATTGGAATATAGAATATAATAATAGAATAGAATAGATATTGGAATGTAGAATAGAATTAGAATAGAATTACAATATAATTGATACTGGAATATCAAATATAAGAATAGAATTGGAATAAAATAGATACTGGAATATAGAATAGAATAATAGAATAGATATTGGAATATTGAATAGAATTGAATAGCATAGAATGAAACAGAACAAATTTCCCAAATCAGCATCGGGAGTACCAGTCTTCTGACTCTGCCCACTTCCCCATATCTTAAAGAAATTCTTCTTGTGCCATGTCCGTCATCAGACATTGGCGATCATGTTGGCGATCTTATTTCTATCAACAGCCACCCGAAATAGTTGCTGAGTTTTGCCCAAACCAGTCCCTTAGATTTTGAAGAAAATCTTAAAAAGAAATGCAAGCGTTAAAATGAATTTCAGTTTTGTTGACTTGGCTTGTCAGATGGTTGCAAACGGAGATCACATGTCCCCGGGACATTGCATGCAACCGTCGTAAGTACATGCCAGTTGCCAAGGGTCTTAATTTTGATCACGTGATGGTCGTAAGTGTGAAAAATGGTGCCGAGTCATTTTTTTCCAGTGGCGTTGTAACTTCAAACGGTTACTAAGTGAACTGTTGTAAGTTGAGGATTACCTGTACATAACTCAGCGGACCCAGGTTAAGCATGTTGTGGGAATGCAACCTGTTTGTTAGTAGTTTCATTGTGTTTCATCAATAGCATTTGCTACTGCTAATACTTTAAAGCATATTGCAGATGGTTCTCAGCTGGCAGGAATAGTTAACACCCTAGAAGATAGGCTCAAGGTGGATCTTGACAGACTAGAACCCTGGGCCGTATCTAACAAAATGAAATTCAATGTAGAGAAAAGGAAAGTCCTATACTCAGGCAAGAAAAACCAAAAGTACACATATAGACTGGGTGAAACCAGGCTCAATAGCAGGAACTGGGAGAGGGATCTCGGAGTCTTAGTGGACAACCAGCTAAATAGGAGCCAGCCGTGTGCAGCCGCCGCCAAAAAAGCCAATGCAATCCTAAATTGTATTAACAGAGGGATACAATCCAGATCAAGGGAGGTACTAATACCACTCTATAAAGCCTTAGTAAGATCACACCTAGAGTCCTGCATCCAGTTTTGGTCCCCACACTATAAAAAGGATGTTGAGACTCTAGAAAAAAGTGCAGAGAAGAGCAACCAGGATGATGAGGGGATTGGAGACTGAAACATACGAAGAACAGTTGCAGGAACCGGGCCTGGCTAGTCTAGGAAAGAGAAGGACCAGGGGAGACAGGAGAGCATTCTTCCAACAGCTGCCACAGAGAGGAGTGAGTCAAGCTATTTTCCAAAGAAAGAAGAAGGGCGAAAGGGAAGGAAGGAAGGAAGGAAGGAAGAAAGACATTTGAGCAATCCATGGATGGACAGAAGACGTGTAGTTTAAGGAAAAGATGGGGTGACATCGCAGTCTTCAAATATCTGAGGGGCTACCACAAAGAAGGGGGGCTGCCACGGGGGGGGAGGGGGGGATTGTCAAGCTATTTTCCAAAGCACAAGAAAGAAAAAAACAAAAGAGAAAGAAAAAAGAAAGAAAAAGAAGGAAGGAAGGAAGGAAAAAAGAAAGGCATTTGAGCAATCCATGGATGGACAGAAGATGTGAAGTTTAAGGAAAAGAAGGATAGGGGTGACATAGCAGTCTTCCAATATTTGAGGGGCTGCCCCAAAGAAGAGATGTAAAAAAGATGGTGAGACTCTAGAAAAAGTGCAGAGAAGAGCAACCAGGATGATTAGGGTACTGGAGACTAAAACATACGATGAACGGTTGCAGGAACTGGGCCTGGCTAGTCTAGTGAAGAGAAGAAAAGGACCAGGGGAGCATAGAATAGAATAGAGAATAGAAAATGGAATAGAATAGAATAGAATAGAATAAATATAGGAATGAAGAATAGAATAAAAATTAGAATTAGAGTAGAATAAAATAGAATAGAATAGAACAGAATAGGATAGATATTGGAATGAAGAATAGAGTAGAATAAAAATTAGAATAGAGTAGATAAATATTGGAATGAAGAATAAAGTAGAGTAGAGTAGCACAGCACAGCACAGCACAGCACAGCACAGCATAGAATTCTTTATTGGCCAAGGGTGATTGGACACACAAGGAATTTGTCTTGGTGCAAATGCTCCCAGTGTCCATAAAAGAAAAGATACATTCGTCAAGAATCATCAGGTACAACACTTAATAATAGTCATAGGGTACAATAAAGCACCTCCAAGGCCAGGCAAGGAATCATGGATGGAAACTGAACAAGGAGAGATTCAACCTGGAAATAAGGAGAAACTTTCTGACAGAAAGAGCAATTAACCAGTGGAACTGAAGTTGCCTTAAGAAGTTGTGGGAGCTTCATCACTGGAGGCTTTCAAGAAGAGACTGTACTGCCATTGGTCAGAAATGGTGTAGGGTTTCCCGCTTGGGTGGGGGGTTGGACTAGATGACCTATAAGGTCCCTTCCAACTCTGTTATTCTGTTAGGATCCAACTGGCTAGTCTAGGGAAGAGAAGGAACAGGGGAGACAGGATAGCCTCTTCCAATATTTGAGGGGCTGCCCCAGAGAGGAGGAAAGGGGTCAAGCTGTTTTCCAGGGCACCCAAAAGCCAGACAAGGAAGAATTGATGGAAACTGATCAAGGAGAAACTTAACCTAGAAATAAGGAGAATTTTTCTGACAAGGAGAACAATCAACCGATGGAACAAAAGTTGCCCTCAGAAGTTGTGGGAGCTTCATCCCGGGAGGCTTTCAAGAAGAGACTGGACTGCCCTCTGTCAGAAATGGTGTAGGGTCTCCTGCTTGGGCAGGGGGTTGGACTAGATGACCTACAAGGTCCCTTCCAAGTCTGTTATTCGATATTCAGTGGAACAAAAGTTGTCCTCGGAAGTTGTGGGAGCTTCATCCCTGGAGGCTTTCAAGAAGGGACTGGACTGCCATTGGTCACTAATGGTACGAGTCTCCTGCTTGGGTGGGGGGGTTGGACTAGATGACCTACAAGATCCCTTTGAACTCTGTTAATCTTTTAACCGGTTATTTGTTATGTTACGCTGGTATGTAGCTTGTTCTGAAATTCGAGTTCTCGAACCATTAAGTAAGTAGCAGACCCCCAAAACAAGCGATTTTTAGTGGCTCTCAGAGGAAAAAAAAACAAACCCACACAAAAGCCGAATTTCTTAACCCTGCCAAACGAAATATTATAAAATATTATTAATAAAAAATATTATTTTTTCCTGTTCGCAGCCTGGAAAAAAAAGAAAAACAAAACCTTAGTTAAAATTCAGCCTGGCAAATTTGGCTCGCCCTTTGCTCAAATGTCACGAAGTTGGTAGTTGGAGCATCTTACTCACAAACAAGCCACCTTGATAACTGGATAGGTACGATCAGATATGAAATTTAAAAAAAGGAAAAAAAGAAAGAACCGTTACTGTTTTCGATTCTTCAGAAACCTCAAATGGAAAAAAAAAATATTGCTAGTTCCTGCCTGGGTTTGATTCTGATTTTTTTTTAAAAAAAGCAAATTCTAGAATCAACTTCAGATCAACATCCACACTGCAGAGTTTAAACGATCTGCCTGTTTATCGTCTTTTAAAAGAATTCCCACGATACGTTTAACCAAGCAATTCGTTTAGTGACCGCTTGGAGGTACGACGTCCCTGAAAAAATGCGACTCAGGACTGGGTTTTTTTTGCCCACACTTACGACTGTTGCAGCCTCCCCCACCGTCACACGATCCAAATTCAGACGCTTGGACAGTGACTCGTAGTTATGACGGTCGCAGGGTCATCCCGGGGATCACGAGATCCCCTTATTGCGACTTTCGGACCAGCCCAGGTCCACGGGGAAGCCGGATTCACTTAACAACCAGGTTATTCATTTAACAACTGCAGGGATTCGCTTAACGACGGTGAGAAAGGTCGAAAAGGCGGCGAACAAATTTCTCCCCTGAGCAACAACAATGTTGGGCTCAGTTGTGGTCGTAAGTTGAGGACTACCTCTTATAAAATCCTAAAACTGCTTATTGTGGAGTTTGCTGGTAAGGGGTACAGGTAGTCCTCACTTAGCGACCGGTCGCTTAATGATTGTTTGAAGTTACAACAAGCTTCAGTTACAAACTACCTTTTTCTAAAGTTCCCTCCCCAAACGAACACACACAGACACAGACACAACCCTATGGTCACAACATTTTGGGCACGTGGCAACCAGCTCGCTTTTATCTCCGTGATCGTGGGGTCACAGGGATGCC